ATATCAAGTAAATACAGGATATCTCACCCATGAAGGGTGATTATCTTTCATGAAGGGAGGAAATGAGTTATTAAGGTCTTTCTCAGGAGCAAAACAAGGATAAGAATCTTTATTAGTGTAAGAAACAATTTGTTTTTTCCCTGTAGAAATATGCTTACTTTTTAGCCATTTTTTTCTTAAATTGTCTGTATCTCAAAAAAACCTGTATCAGTTTCAGCTGATACCAGTGCACTCCTTGAGAAAATTGTTATAGAACATGTGCTCATGGCTTTTTTTGTCTAGATCACAATTAATAATATTTTTAGGCATGAAATGTGTATCCACTCCCATAAGAAACACTTGTAAAGTATTTGATATTTTATTTGAGGATATTAAAAGATTGTTTAAAAATAAACATGTACTGCTGGAGTTGAATTTTCACACGATTATTCAGATAGTCAGTAGGTCTCCTTTGATCATATTATTATGATGCTTCTGCAGAATCTCATTCTAAGACAGGCACATATTTTTTTCTCTCTTCCTCTCCCCCCCCCCCCCCCTCTCTCTCCCGAGGACTAGAAGTTCGAAGTACAAGATTAAGTAAGTTCTAACAGTGTTATAAAAGTAAGTGCTTTTTTCTATAATAAAAGGTGTTTAAAAGGTTCGCTACAGCTTTAAACAGAATTACAATTTACTTCTTTCAAGTGTCCAGGCCATAAATTCTTCTCAATTCCCTCTCTCTCTCCTTGTCGGAATTAATGAGATCAGATTTGATCAGGGCAGTGATGTGTTCAGAGCCAAATCACACAACAGCGCGCGTGCGGTAATGGAATTTGCATCTAATGCATACATAAATCAAACATCTTTCTGGACATTTTCATATGCATAATGTCATTTCATCCAGTTCTCTCTGTGCAGAGGGGGAGATTTTTCTCTCAGAGAGAATGACTTTCTTTAATGCTTTCATTTTATTTTCGCTGACTACAATCCCCGAGAATGCGCTCGGTCGGAGAATCTTTCGGGGCGCGGTTGACAGTTCCTTTTCCAAGAGGGGTCCTTCACATTTATCATGCCTCTTCCTCGGGGGCTTTGTTATGCAAATGTGGCTGAAATTGATAATTCCAAAGTGCTTCATTTCGGTTCCTTGGCGGTTGGAGATGGTAGATAAAAAGAAACTGACAAGACACACTGATTGCCCTCAATGCTTGTAACTCTCTTGCTAACAAGGCTCGATATTGTTAAAAATTCCTATTGTTATCAGGGTGGCAGTTCCATTATGCAGGCCTTGCAAATTTCTGATTTGAATATTAACCCTTTAATCACCCTTCTCCCCTCCCCCCCACCCACCCAAAATCAATTGCCATCAAGCGGCTTAAGGACACAAAACATTAAATTATTTCTCTATTATGGTTGAACATCTGTGGCACATTTTAAAAACTCCATTAATCTTTTTCAAGGTAAGCTGGAGCATTTTACAACTTGATGTAAAAAACATAAAAAAGCGAGAGGAAAAGGGAGAGAAGGGTTAGTGCCCTAATGCAAGAATAGACTGAACTGCGCTGTTTCAAGATATGGGGTTGCCAGGAAGGCATGCAGAATATTTACATGGAAATTTCTGTTTATAAAAATCAAATAGTTCCTGGAGAGTGGAGAAGTTTCATTAGTTTAAACTTCTGTTTACTTGAACTTTATGTTCTGACTGAGGTAGGCCTCAGGGAGGGGATAGTGTGTTTTCATATTCCATAGTATAGTTAATTTTTACCTGGATATCCTGTTGGCAACAGATATAACTTTTCTGGCTATCTAGCAAATCTCTTTTAATCTGACAGATAGGCAACCAAAAAATCCATACAGCAAAAGGAAATTGCAAATTATGGGGATTTTTATATACTTTTTTTCCCCTTTTTAGCCAAGTCTGTAATTTCACTTGTATAATTTAGTGTTGTTTATCTAAGGCAGATTACACTAAGGGTATGTCTACACTGTGGCACTATTTCGGGATACTTCTGGTATCCCGAAATAGTTATTCCATGACTTTGAAACACGCCCTTTATTTATAGAGCTCGACAGTCCTGTAAACCTCATTCCACGAGGAATAATGGACGTTTTGGAATAGTGGTTTATTTCTAAATTTGGTGCTATGTAGATAGCGCCAAATTACAAAATAAGCTATTTTGAAATTAACTCAAAATCAGGCACGCAATTTTCATAGCTCAAATTGCGTAGCTTATTTCGAGCTCAGAGTGCCGTGTTAGACACACCCTAAGTGATCTGTAAGGTACTCTTGACAGTACAATAGAGGGAAATGCATATTATAGGGGCCCGATCCAGCACCCATTGAAGTCAATGGGAGCATTGCCAGTTGTTTATAAAGGGTGCTGGATCACACCTTGGAGATGATGATCTCCTCCACAATGACATATTAAATGTATGTTATAGAGTATACCATATGCACATTATATTTACACTGAAAAAAGCAAAGGTGCTTGATAACTGATTTACCTATTCATTAATGAAAATGTGCTGTCTGGAATTTTGCACATCCCTTTAACACTTGCTGATATGTCCCCAAAGAAAGCAAATCTCCCCCCTCCCCCATCAAACTCAAGTCTTCAGGCTGGAATTGCAATTAAAGGTTAAATTTGGTTTATCATCTTTCTTGAGAGACCTGACATGGTTCCAGTTAAAGTAAAGCGGAATATGACAAGGTAAGTACTAAATGCTGGGGTACATGTGGGAGAGGAAGGGTTTCGTTTGTAAAACGAAGCATAGTTCATTTCTAACAACTGGCAACTGTAACAATATATTATCTCTGTACAATTAACAAGAAGGTGCATCTCAACCAGTTCATGTCAAAGAAACATCAAAGTTTCCCACCTTCTTAGTTCTGGAATCTTGCAAAGCTGTACCTGCCAAATTATAGTAAATAAAAAAAGATACTTGCACAACAGTCGCATCTTTTATATTGGACCAAGGATCTCTCTTCCTCCTCAAGTTAAAAAAAATCATTCCCATTATTGTAGTACATCTTGGAAAGCTCATATGGTTGAGTTTTCTTTCATTTATATATGTGATGGCAGATTAAACCTATGTAAGGAAACAGTGATAATGCCCACTGTAGACTCTTGGAAATTATAATAGATAAGTTTTCCATGTCAGTGTTTTTTCTTTCAGTTATTTGAAAACAACCTTTTAATTTTTAAAAAATTTCTACACTCATTGTTATTCATAAACTGATCCCACCCTGCTCTTTAATTCAAAAAGAGATATCACTAAAACTGGTTGATATAAATTCATAACTTGAATCTATTATTTAATCTATTAGTATAACCAGTATTAGTGCTTTTCCCCTATTGATTTCTATAATTTTGTCAAATACTGTTGTTTATATTCAATGGTATTAATATCATTAGTTGTTCTATGGCAGTATAATCACAAATACTATCTAAACTTCACATTAATAACTATATTAGACAGTAGTAGTCAAATAATACTAATCAGTCAATATGTATTAATAACTGTCAGTAACCACAGATGCAATTAACTTATCCTGTCTGCCATAAAGAATCAAACTTACCTCTAATGGTTTCAAAAGATTTCCTATACTTTCCCAGAATCAAAGAGTGCTTATCTTTTGGAATGAGAGATTTAAAAATTTGTATATATGTTCTGAATTTATTTCTTATTTTCTTATTTATTTCTTATTAACATTTAGAATTGACACTGTTTTAATCTGAATACATAATGCTATCTGTTGCCTCTATGAGACAGAAGAACAATTAAAAGGTGGGTTTCTCTTGCATTGTTTGATTTTCCATGGGCTCAGTTTGCCAGTGAAGAATTGTATGTATTTTTATAATAAGGAAACTTGTCAGTGAATTTGTGACCATAGAATTATAGATACAGCTAAGCTGATATATATGTAATGGCTTCATTATGCATAAGAGGAGGCACTCTTTACTTTGCAGCCCAAAATACACAAAGCACCCATTAGAATGAAGAGGTCTATGATGTCTCTTCATGTGCAGTGCATAAAGGTACATGAATGTCCTTGCTTGTTGGCATTTAATTTACCAGTTGCCTCTGTAGTGGAGCCTTGGCAGATTCAGCTTGAATCTGAAAGACAGGCTGTCATACTGAGAGTCTGCTGCCTACTGCTGAAATTGAGAGGCTTGGCAGATATGCAAACAGTAACTGGGTTTGAGTTGT